CACCAAACTGGCACTTGAGCTGCATGTTCAGTATGCCAGTCCAATGGGCTGCTGCTACTGGTCATTGCCTAGGAATCTGTTTTGTGGTAGGCAGTTTCTAAGTTTCTAATCTTCTCTTACTAGTATTGGTGTCCCTACATAATCCTCTACCCTTGAGTGTGGACTGGACCTAGTGACCTACTTCTAACAAAAAGAATAAAGCAAAGGTAATGGGACATCACTTCTGAGATTAGTTATAAAACAGCTTTGTTTCCATCTTACTTACCCTCTCTTATTCTCTGACTTGCTCACTCTTATAGAAACCAGCAGCCATATAGCAAGCTGTCCTATAGAGACCTATGTGGCAGCAATTGAGGGAGGCCTCTGGCCAAAAGACAGCAAGGAACCAACGTTGCTCAGTATAACATCCTGTGAGACACTGAATTCTGTTAATCGCATGAGAGAGCTTGGTTGCAGATCCTCTCCCTCAGCTGAGCCTGGAAATGGCTCAAGCTCAGCTGACATCTTGGTTGCAGTCTTGTGAGAGCCCCTGAGCTGGAGGGTCTAGCCAAGCCACACCTGGATTTCTAACCCACAGGAACTGTGAGATATGTGTTATCTTAAGACCCCACATTTTAAAGTAATTTGTAATGCAACAATAGATGACTAAGAGATATTCTCATTTTGGGCTATTCTCTCTCTTCACAAAGTAGGTATTCAAGTATGCTGCTTGGCAGGTCTGCCCATTGGGAAAATTTACTTTCTTTGCTTTCTTTCAAGTCCATCTCTGAGGGTAGCAGTAAGGAAGCTGCTGTCCATTTTTACTTGCTCCCACCTGCTCCCTCTCATCTGTCCATAACCTAAGCTTAGACTTTTTCCTTCTGTTTAAACTGATCATATAGGGACCCCTGCATGGCATAGGTGCCAACTGAGGGAGGGAGAGGTGCTGGTGTAGCTGTGGTCATGAGGTCCTGGGCCACCTGCTTATGAAGTTTACTTGGCCCTCTGCTGCTGCTTGAGCTGGATACTGGATGTACCAATTTCATCTTTTAATGGACTATTGCTGGATATGTCTGACTTTATGATATCTCAGGGCCAAAATAACCCAACTCATAATGGGTAGTTCTGGGTACTTGGTATCCCATGGTCACACATTCCATGTCTGCCAGGGCCCAGTTACAGACATCAAGTGCTATTTTTCAAAAAGTGCATAATGTTTCACTGTAGATGGCATAACGATGCTCTGGAACTTCAGGGGCCTGCATTGTGATTCTCCTCCTAGAACTCCACTTTCCTAGCACCAACATGTCCACCATCATAGCTCAGCCAGAAGTTATGGCCCAAGCAGTAGGGTTGCTTGTATTGGACCTGTTGCAGAGCATTGTTTTTTTCTGCTCTGGACCCCAGTAAAAGCTGGCAGCCTTCTGTGGACACTGGTATATGAGTGGTGCAATATGTGCGAAATGTGTTGCTTCCAGAACCCAAAAGGCTCACTGGGCTCTGTGCTTCCTAATGAACAGAGACGGTAAGATGCAGTGCTATATCTCTTGCTTTGGAGGCAATCCCAGGACACCTATGACCACTGGACCCCAAAAACTTTATTGAAGTGGCAGATCCCTGAATCTTGATAGAGTTTATTTCCCACATTCTAGAGTGCCTGTGTCTGACCAAGGTCTCCAGCATGCTGATCAACTCTTGTTTTTTTGACTGATCAGCACAAAGTTATCAATGCCATAGTGTTTTGAGGGAAGTCTGGATTGTGCAGCTCTCTTTTTCAGAGTATTTTATGACAATGGATAGGATGGTTAATATAGCCTGGAGTAAAACTGTAATATTGTTGTTCATCCCACTGATTTCTCCAATTTTCATGTGTGTTGATCTCAATTTTATAATTGGGGACTAGGGAAATAACCTCTATTTGGATTCATGGGCCCAGTGGACCCCCAGTAAACTGAGCTTCAACCAGGATTCTAATTATAAGCTCATGCACTTACCTATTATTTATTCATTTCTTTATTTTGTGTCTCCCCAACTAGGATACAGCTCTTTGAGAACCATGATTTTGAGCTTTAGTCCCCAGCACCTTTAACAATGCCTGGCACACAGTAGGTGTTCAATAATTGAATTATTATTGCATTATTACTTTAATAATTATTTATTTAATAATTAATAATTGCATTATTATTTTAATTTGCATTACTTTAATTATGAGTAAGATTGAATTTCTTGTTCTGTAAACTGCCTTTTCCTTACCATCATTGGTATTAAAAATATATTAATAGTAATAATAATAATACATTTGCTCCCTCTGTTTCTGACCACAAGCAATTGCCATCTCAGAGTAGACAAAATGGCTGGTCCTATCCTGAAAACCTTACTGTCTCAGGGTAAACTTGGCAGCAGTCTAGATTACTTACAGGCTATCAATATCTCCTAGCCACTTGTGTTCCTTTAGCATAATCCTGTTGTCAGCTATAATGAGGCACTTACGCTACATTATAATCACCATTTAAACTTGTCTATTACTTCTCCTCTATTAGATTCTTTAAAGGAAGGAACTTTGTCCTTTTATCATATATAAGCAGAACCTAGCACAATGCCTGACAAATTAGGGAAGGTAAATAAGTTAATTACAACAAATCAATCAATCAAATGAATCCAGTCAGGGCTAAGCAGCAACTAGCAAGTTTAATTTAGATAAAAACAGATTTATCTGAGCATCATTCTAAAATGATACCCCATATTCAAAGTACCATGCCAAATTACACAGTTGTTTAACTGGATCTGAGCCAAAACTGGACTCAAGTCTGGGAGTTCTGAAGAGGAACCTTTTATGGACTTTCATCTCAGGGCACTCATTACGCTGTGGGATATGTGATGAAACAGCTATTTCTTTAGAAATAAACATTCCCTCAAAATAGAAAAGAGGAAAAAAATACCATATGCCGTTGAGAGATTTAAAAGTTATTGCACCATTAAAAAATACAACCTTCTTATGTAAGTATATGTATGTGCGTTTATATGCATATTATATGTATGTGTGTGTATATATGTGTATGTATGTATATATACACACACATACATATAATATGCATATAAACGCACATACATATACTTACACATATGTGCGTTTATATGCATATTATATGTGTGTGTGTATATATACACACATACATATAATATGCATATAAACACACATACATATATGTATATAATATGCATATAAATGCACATATATACCTACAGTATAATATGTGTGTGTATATCTATACATACATGTAGATATACACATATGTGTATATATATACACTAGGGAAATGACCTCTATCTGGATATATACGTATATATGTGTGTGTGTGTGTGTGTGTGTGTATATATATATATATATATATACACACACACACACACACATATATATGCATATATATACATACTCACACAAATAGTCATTACTAAAGTTTAGTTAGGATTAGCAGGAAGACAAATAGAAGTTAATGGCTCAGGGATTTGTCTCTCTATATATATCATATGTGTGTGAATCTATATATATCTTCTTGAGCCCAGAAGCTCAAGGTTACAATAAGCTATGATCATGCCGCTGCACTTCAGCCTGGGTGACAGAGAAGACTCTGTTTCAAAAAAAAAAAGAGAAAGAAAAGAATAAGAAGAAGAAGAAGAAGAAGAAGAAGAAGAAGAAGGTGGTCATTTGATAATTTAAGAAGATCCAGTTTAATAAATAGGCCAGTATGTGCATTCAGCAAACATTCAACCAATACTTACTGTACTTACTGAACACTTACTATGTCACTGCCACTATTCTAGGCACTTGGAAGTATTAATGAGAGAGAAACAGAGAGAGGCAAAAACCCTTATCCATATGGAAACATACAATAAACAATAAAAATATTTTTATTTTATGTTAGATGGTAATAAGTGCTACGGGAAAAAAAAAGAGCAGAATAAAGTGGGTTCAGGATTGCCAATGTGTGTGTGTGTTGGGGGGATGTGGCAGGAGTAGGGTAGGGTGGAAGTTTCTGGAATCGGGGAGTGTTAGGTATAGGAGAAGGTAGGAGCTTGCAGAATAGGATAATCAGATTAAGCGCTATTAAGGTAAGATTTGAACAAAAAATTAAAGAAAAGGAGGGACTTAGTAAAGTGGATATCTTTGAAAACAATGTATTGAATATTGTCTATGGGTTTTGCCATATAATACAAATATTTAAACTAAGAGTTTCAACAGCTATGTTCAAAATGAATATCTGAATTAAAACAGACATACTTAATTTTAAAAATAAATGTATTAAACCGAACTATAATGAAATTTACTAGTCTTTTTTTGGTTAATCAGAAAAAGTCCATGTTTATCATGTGAAAATAATGAAGAGAAGTACAGAAAGAGGGAAAAGATAAGAGTACAAAAATTAGCACCACCAATATGCCAAAAAAATGTAGTTATAGCAACTTCAGCATCCAAGGTCTCTTATTATCTAGTAAAGACTGAGGTAATGCAATAATAAAATTATTATTTGGAAGGCATTGGCTATTAGATATGCCCAGTGTTAAGCATTTTTCCTGGATTATTTCACATAGTAATCTTAAATAATACTCATTTTATGAATGAAAAAACTAAGTGTTGGAAAGGTTATGTAATTTACCCAAGATCACACAGTTAGCAAGTGGCCAGGTCAGGATATGATCCCAGGTTTGTTTGGCATTGGAACCCACTATTTCATTCTTTATGCTATGCTACCTCTCCACAGTGTTTTACTGTTACCTTCATGTATGCAATGGAAGTTTAAACACAGGTGAGTTAAATTTTCACAAGAGAGAAGGAAAAATGAAAATAGGATTTGACAATCACATTGTACTTTTACCTGATCCCAGTATTTAACATAGATCACTCATGGATATTCATGGCCATGATTCATATGCAAGACCTGTGACACTGTAGCCTTTGGAAACCGAAACTGTAGACCACACCTTCATTGAGAACACACCAGCAAAGGCTTTCCGGAACATACCTGTTGAGGATCTAAAATGGCCCCATGAGGTTCCAGTTTTCTACTTTAACAATCCATAGTATTTTGAGACTCCTCTGTAGAAAGGCAGAAAGAAAATACAAATTAGGCAACTGTCCTATTTCTAAGCTATGAGAGTAATTTCAACTTAACATAGAGTGTTGCATAAGCCAAAGATGAGCAAAATCCTGAGGAAGGCATGACAGCATAATAGAAAGATCCCTGGATTGAGGGCAGATCCGACTTCTTGTCCTAGCTCTACCATTAACTCATGTGACCTTGGGCAAGTAAGTCACTTCACCTCATTGAGCCTTGATTTCCTCATATGTAAGATGTCCAAAGTTGTAAAGCTTAAAGAATGTCAATGGGTGTGCTTCCTCTAAGAGATAATGATTGTTTTTTGCAAACAGCTGATTTGTGTATGTGTCTCTGGAACCTGAGGGCGATCAGAAAGTTTGATTCAAGGCACTTAGGATGAAAATCTTCATTGCTAGAGAGGCTATGAATACTAAGAGGTAAGTTACCATGAATTTAATAAGGATGGACTAACAGGTACTCCATCTGAAGGGTTTTCTTTAGGACCAGAGTTATGGGAATGAGTTGGCTCTCCCAGCCTCTCTCTGTGTTCTACACCCTGAGCCCCACCATAATGCAGGTGAAAGAAGCAAAGGCCAGAGCATGAAGGGACTCAGTTCATGAAGGGCGAAGGAAGGAAGGGAAGGAAGAGGTAAGGAGTTAGCTCTTCACTTAGCACAGTGAACAAAATATTCAGAATAAGTCCCTGTCTATCAGGAAGAAAGACTCAGAACTCCATTCAAAGCTCTGATAATTCCCCAACATAATTTGGAGGTGAGAGAATATTGATTTGTTGAGAGGAGTTTCTGGAATAGCATGGGCTCCAGAAGCTCCTAGTCTTTTTGTAACAGGAGGAAGCCAAGGAATAAGCATGCCATAGAAAGGAGCAGAAGGACAGTGACCATTGTCCATTTAATGCCTGGCTTTTGATCCTGGCTGACTCACTTCCCTGGACATGCCAGTCAATTTGCTGGTTATTCCCTATTTTCCTGCTAGCGTTACTGTAGAAGAGCCAGCTCTTCCTCTTATTCCAATCCCCTGAACTCTAAGTAGGTTTCAGTTTCTTTTAATCAAAAGCAGCTTGACCAGAAAGAACACCACCATGTGCCTTGCCCTTCTGGCTCATAAAATAGGCCAGAAACAAGAGCAGAGTTTCTTCCCAGTCTCCCTGCATCCACATGCTTGTTCTGTGCCAAGTCTATAGCAGCTGCTAGAGTGGAGGGGCACCAGACTCTCATGGATTTTTGGACTTGGCTCCCATGAACCAAGAAACATCTCCTCACCCTCCTGATTTTGATGCTCCCCCATTCCCTCTGGTTAAATAGCCCCTACAGTCCTTCACTTTATAGAACCCACTAAAGTGACCAGCCACCTCCACCCTTGAAGCAGGGTGATTCAGACATTCAGCAATAAGTCTAAGAAAAAAGTCACTGGAGTCTGGGGAGCAGGAGCAGTAGCAAGGTGGGAGACCCCCCAAGTGTTAGATAAAAGCACCTTGGTAGCTCTCCAAAATTGGTAACATAGAACTGGGTAAGAGCATGCCATAGAGGGATGAGCAGGTCATTCTGGGCAATAATTGCTGGTTTGTTTCTTAGAGTTTCTTCAGTTCTGAGTGCCTGCCCCTATTAACCACGTTCCTTTTCAAGGCATGTCCCTGGAAAGGATTTGCTGGAAAGAGGATGATCTGAGCCTTGACTGCCCATATTCATGTATTGGCCCTACCTTCTCAGGAGAAAACTGAAATTGGAGGGGTTAAAATACCTATCCACATAGCTTCTGGAGCAGAGCCAGACCGAGAGAGGAGGTAGGGCCGTCAGGAATGCAAGGTCATGCCTGCCAGGGCAGCTTATAGATTCAGCTCACAGGGAAGCTAGATCTGGCCAGCAATGCCAAGGGAGAAGGGGAGCCAAACTGGGCACTGGACTATCATATGGTGGGCCAGAGGCCAGAAGGCAGGTCAAGATGCTGAAGCCAGAGATGGAACTTCAACAAAGGGAGGCAGGAAGGACCTAACGGAAGTAGGGAAGGGCTGGGATGTCTGGGGAGTGGAATAGAGTTTGTTAAGATGTAACTGGCAAACTACCACAGCCCTTCTATGCATAATTAATACACTCCTTTGGTATTCTGAAGCAGCCTTGAAGTGTCAGTTTCTCACTAGGCTTGTAACACCCGGGCCAGGGCATGTTGGGAATAGTAAAGCCTTGAGCCAAAGTGAGGGGAGTCACCAGTGTCAGGGCAAAGCTAGGGCAGAAGTGGCAACGCAAAGGAGAGGGTGGCAATAAGAGACCAAGATTAAGCAAACACATAGAAAATATAGCTGTATTTCACAGATGTTAAAGTCAAAGCAACAACTAATACAGGAGAGCAGCATAAGGGAATGGCCTCAGTGACCTTGGCAAAGACCCGGGATAGGGTGGGATGGAGGATCATGAGATGCAAAACTAAATCATCTGGGGAAGTCTATCCAATAGAAGGTGGAGAAGAGCAAGATATAGGTGACCCAGCCCCAGGTAATACGGCAGGCAGAGGTGATGCAGGAAAACAGATACCAGCTTGATGGCAGAATATAGGATGGGACTCCCTTGAGTGAACTCAAGAGCCCAAAAGAAGCAAGTGGAAGGCAACTATAGATGGGCATCCAGGGGCATTAGGGAGAACCACTGCTCAAACACACCAAAGCATCTGTGTCTTAGGTTTCAGCCTGTGAGCCAAAGACCATTTCCAGACTTCTACTGACTAGTAGGGGAGGGCTATTGATGTTCTTCCCAGATGGAGACTTCTCAGTCTTGGGGTGGAAGGTGCAGGCTTTGGATGGTTGAGCACTAATCATGAACAATGGAAATGAGATGAGAATTAACACAGAATCTAATGCAGAAAGGCTCAGAGAGGAATGAAAGAACTCCTGAGGCTCAATGAGAATTGTGCCAAATCATGGAAGAAATTAAGGACAGCTGTAGTGAGATGGCCATTCTACTGCCTCCTCACTACAGCTATTGCCAATATACTACTGCCAAGATTGTGAATAAGTTTGTTCTTTCTGGAGATCAATCTGGCATTATGTAGGAAGAGTTATAAAAATATACCCAGGCTTTCACCCCAAACTTCCACTTCTAGGGATCTCAACTAAGGAAATAGGATTGACGCAAGCTCAGCTTTATTATAAGGATGCTCACCACTGTGTTATTTATATCCAAAGAACATTGGGAACAACACAAATACTCAATGGTAAAGAAGTTTCAGGAGAATAAACTATTTTCCAGATGCTCAATGAGATGAGCAGCTGGATGAGTTGAGATCCCTAGAAGTGGAAGTTTGAGGTCAAATGCTCCATTAAGGAGATGAAGTTACATTAAATGAGATCAGTGTTATAATAACCCATGTGCCTTGATTTATAAAGCATGTCTGAGCTTCTGCAGCAAGTGAACTGAAGAAGAGGAAGCAACAGACCTGAGGTAAGAAGGTCTAGCCAAGCAGTAGTAAGGGACTTTCCACGTGTTGATGTCTAAGAGGAGAGGGTACCTTCAAAATCTCTGGATGGTTTCCATGAAGTCCAATCTGATGAAATTCTATAGTGGCAGATGGTGGTTTCATGGCCTTGTTTTTTAATGTTTCAAGAGCAGAGACACATTTATCTTAGTTAATGGGGGTGCAGAACTGGGAGGGTGGCATTGCAGGGATATACAGGAGGATGTAAGAAAGTCAGGAAACACTAAATAGCTGCACAGCTATTCCTCATAGAGACCAGAACATCATTTACAAGATAGAGGCTGCTTTAGAACACAATGCAGTTTGAGTTATTCTGTGGGCCCTCCGACACCAGCATCAGCTGCCCTGAATCTAATGCTCTGCCACTTTTATAATGATGCAGCTGTTCTTGTCCCTGTTTTACTACTCCTGCCACTACCAGCCAACTTCCTGCATTTTTCTTTGTCTCATTGCCTCTACTCACTAACAGTGCCTGCTACCACATGATTTCTTTCTCTGTGTGTCTTTCCAATCTTTCTCCCTACTACCAACAGCAGGGACCCCCATACCCAGCAAAGCATCCTATTTAAACTCTCCAAAGAGAAGGTCCTGTTGGTACTATTGATTACTGTTTCCTTCATTAAATAAAGCTTCCTTGCCAGACTACTCCATAGAACAATGACAGGCCTACGGATGAGCTGCTCTTGAACCAGACACCTGAATTTGGTTGAATCGGCTGAGGTTGGGATATAGGAGCTTGTGAGCAGCTTTCTTCAGAGTTGCTATGGGCATTCCAAAATTGAAAGTGTAAGAAATCCCTCTCTAAAGCAGAGAGTCCATCAGATTTGAGGCAGGGCCCCTCCTAGAGGTAAGAGTAAGGAAGGGATCTGTCTTTAGAGAAACAAAAGCTGGTTTGGTTGTCAGAATCATAGTCTCAAAAGGGAAACTGAGTCAGAAGCCACTCAGATAAACAGGGCAAACATGGCAGAGAATGCACACTTGAATGTCCATGGCTTACCCCAGGCATAACAGATTTTAGGCTTGCGATGACCTGGCAAATGGTGGTAGACTTTGGTAGATGGACTTCCTAAACACAAGCAAGTCTTGCTCAGGATTAGATCAGAGCTAAGCCATTTTGAATTGACACAAGCAATGCCTCTGGTCCTCTACAGAAACTCAGTAGAGACTTTTGCATTATACAGGGAGGACACTTTTCTTTTCCGTAAAGTTTATTCTTCAGCTAGCAGTGTGTCAGAAAATGCTTTCTGAAATTTTGACTTGGGAACTTTTAAATTTAAATTTCCAGCATAGATTTCTGTTCCATCTTGAAAGGGCATTTCAGTATTTAAATTTTTTTCTTTATCATGTGTACTAGTTTCCTGTGGCTGCTTTAACAAAGTACCACAAACTTGCATCACTTAAAACAACAGAAATGGATTCTGTCACAGTTCTGGAGGCATGGCAGGCCCATGCTTCCTCTCTAGTCCCTTGAGACAAATCCCTCCTTGCCTCTTCCTAGCTACTGATGGTTG